CCTTGAGAAACATTCTGCTCCTGAACACGGAAATTGAAAATAAAATAATTCCCAGCTAAATCATTGTCCTTAGAATAAGAAGAACCAGTATATCAATCTTGAAGAAATGAAAATTTGACAAAGGTACCTACGGTTAGTTTAGACCTATCCTGAGAGCAAATACGTTAAAACCCAATTTCAACACTCCAAACACAAAAGATTGAGAGCGATCACATTTTAACCACCTATAAATTTACCGCATTGTAATGACCCTATAATGCCCATTTCACATAATCAGTAACGCTCAACTCCACAAAAACATATACCATCAAACCCGGAATCAAACATAAAGCAATAATAAACAGATAATATCAAAGGAAAATTACGGCATTTCCGTCACACCCAATTGAAACTATCTAAAACAAAACATGCTGAGCAGATTCAGTAGGATTGCAGTTGGCAACTACAACAAGGTGCACTTGGGAGCCCCTCCAACCGCACTGGAGCACCCCCTTTTTTACCCCAATTCCCATTGGAGCTAGAATGCACCCTTAATGAACCCCAACTCATATGTAAAATCAATTTCCAAAAAGGCATTCAGAATCAAAACCCAAAGCCATGGCAGTTCCTTCCCAAACAAATTTTTTTTGGCCAATCTTCACAAAAGATTGAATCCTTTTTAAAACAAAATATTCCCAAACAGATTCAGTATGATTTACAAACCCCAACTAGTATCTAAAATATCATTAATTCATTACATACCCCATTAAATAACACTCACGATAATTATGCACAAACTCAAGTGAAGGCAATTCTCAGCCTAAATCCACATCCATTCATACTACCAAACTACACCCGAGAACAAATCCCGTATATAGCATGCTCACCCAAATAACTTTTACCAAAAAACACTTTGCAAAGATGCAATTCAAGAATGAACCAAAAATCTAAACTCCATGTTAGCATCATCTTAGCTTCCACAAATTTCATCATCACAAAATTCAAGAACAATCAAGAAAACTCAATAAATCATAATCACCTTATGATATCATGAATAATAAAAGAAAACAAAAAAGACCCTTCAAAATCTTTTCCTTTATCTATTCAATCAAACAGGCAATACAAACCAGTCAAACAAAACCCCATTCAAATCATATCCTTCAAACTACAAATGAATACTATTTTAAACCAACCAGAATTACTAGAACAAAGATTTCTTGCACTAATCATATGACAAAATTTTAACTACAAAAACTCACATGGCAAAGCTTCAGTACAAGACAGAACCAAAACCGTAACTCCATGTCAAGACAATATTCATTCCCAGAAATTTTATCATAAGATATGTTCAAGAAAAACGGAGAAAACCCATCATCCATAATCAAAATGCCATTCCAAAAACAATAATCAAACATGGCAGAAAGACCCAGAAAAGCAAAACCCATTGTGAATCAAAGCTTTGCAAATATCAAACCAATAATATTTGTTCCACAAAACAAAATTTGAAAAACTGTAGTGTAGAGCATCAGAATCACGGACAAAACAAAAATTTTAGAGTAAAAGAAAGAATAAAAGCAAGAATAAGCTTTTACCTGAATGATGATTTTGAGAGGTGAAGTGAGACTGAGGAAGAAAGGAATGACCATTTTACAAACAAAACAACGGTCGTAAGATAAAAGGCTCAGATCGACGGCCCAGAATATTTTCCTGGAATAGGTTGTTTAAAAACGCATTGGCATTGGGCGTTCGGCCTTCGGCCTAATACTTTGATTTTACTAAATAAGATGAATTTTAGATTTTTTTTATTTTTCATTTTTTGAGAATTGAATTATAGAATTTCTTTTATGGTTTTAATTGTCGAAGTAAAACACATGAGATTTTAACATTAAAATAATACAAAATTTAAGATATTTAAAATAAAAATACATAAGTATAAGACTTGTCAAAATGAACCTGACCCATCGAGTCAGCTCATCTTCTATTAAATATGAGATGGATTAAGTTGAAAAATTTTAATCCATATTTGAACCGAACCTAAATGGGTCAGCCCACCAAATCAATGGGCTGATGAGGGCTAGGGCAGGGTTAGCCCTATGAGCCAGAAAAAAATAATTTTAATTAATTTAATAATTTTATATATGTAATTATGTAAAATTAATAATTTAGTTATCAATAGTATTGTTTATTTTATATATTTCAATGTTTTTAATCTTCACTTGTCAAATTAAAAATTTTAATTTAGATTAAAATTTATTATCTTTTTTTCTTATATAGTAATGAATATTAGATGATAAATTGATAATAATTCAGACCTTGAGATATCATTGCTGTCTAAACAAGATTTAAATATTTTACTTGAGAATGAAGATTGAGGAAAATATAAATGAGTCTTGAAATTTTTATTATTTAGTTATATAATTATGTTTATGAAATAGTAATTGGTATTAAAAATTTAAACTTTATTATGTAATTTATTTATTTTTTATATTTGGTGTCATTTGTTAATTTATAACATATTTTTATTATTCAATTTATTAATTAAATCATAGAATAATTTTATTAATAAAAAATTTATCAAGTAAAATTATAAAAATTAATTTTTTTTTAAAAAATAAAAATAAACTAACCCAATCCAACTCATAAACTAACAAAGGGTGAGTTGGGTTGAGGTTTTAAAAGTCCATATAAAAAATGAACTGATCCGACCCAATCCATATTTTATCAAGCCACAAGGGTCGAAGTCGGACTAGGCCGGATCAATTCATATTGACATCTCTAGACTAATGTATAATGTCCAAAAAATAAAAATTATATTAAACATAATAATAGTAATAATAATAATAATAATATATCATGATTTAAACACGAAAATCAATTTTAAATGATAAATTGTGACATAATTATTCCTTAAAAACCAAATTTCTTATAAATTTAATGGCAAAACAAGGAAATCTTATTACTTTAATTAATTTACATAATAGTATTTTTTTTCTTTTTTATCAAACATGTGAATCAAGTCTCTTGAATTATGATTAAAAAATAATAACAATTACATCATCTTACCTCTTCAAATTTTTAAAGATATTCGTGTTCAACAAATAGTCATCGATATAAGTATATTAGTTCAACTCTATAAATATCAGAAAAAAAAAATTGAATATATTCGTATCAAACACGTAATCATTTTCACATCATTTTCACATTCACCTCCAAACCCGAGTAACATAAAATATCAAAACTACAATTTAAAAAAACGACTACGTTTTATTACATAATATTTGCAAAATTACATTTAAAAAAGCAAGACAGAGTGAAATAAAATACAGAAAGGGGAAACAATATAAAAACACTAAACAAACTACAGTTGAATGTTGGCATCTCCTCCAGATCACTAACTTTGGACCATCCAACAGCTGAATTACCATTGCAGAAACTTCAAACTTTGCCCCCCTAGGCCAGAACCGGTGATTGCACTTGCCAAATTCTAGGGAGGATCGAAAAAGTATCGTGAATAAATGTTCTTCCGACAAAGATAAAAGACCAGCAGCCAGCTTTCTCTGCATGCTCGATATTAAGTTGATAAACTCAAGTGAGGCAGCTGCATTGCAGGGTCATTGGAGCATCCTCACGGCTTGCGCAAAGAGACCGAGCTTTTTTACCTCAGTGCAAGTAGGTTTGGCTTAGATCAGCTCTTGTTGGCCATGGAGCATTCAGGGTATGGTTTCGATCCCATATAGACGTGTCATATATGTGAATTATTTAAACATACAAAGCAAACGAACTAACACTAAAATGGCAAAAATAAATATAAAAGAAAATTCGATTGTTTTGTTTTACAAGGGAGTGATGAAATTATATTCACCTGAACAGGCTGATACATATGTGCCCACTTTCTTCTACATCCAGCCGATTTTGAGTCAACTACTCAATATATGTATCGGCCTACGCAGAAGACTTGGGTATCTTAT